TGGGCGAGGCCTGGATTCTCTGCGCTATTGATTGGCACGCAGTCGTTGGTGGAGAGGATAGAGACAGTTTCCGGCGCCATTCTACTGTAATCCGACGACCGTATCCAGAAGAACAACTCGGATTCTCAGTGTCCTTTTCTATCTAGCCTACAGTACTACTTTACATCGTTTTATTCGGAAAGCTCCTACAAGATCGATGACTCTATCCGTCTATTCTAAAAATCAAGGAAGTTTCAATTTGTCGGCGTCTGTTCTATTTCGAAAATCCACTCACTTTTATGAATTTGGTAGAAATCTGGTTATTCTCGGACAGCTGTATTTGTGACACTTCTTCTGTTCCAATATATCGCTCACCTTTAGTTCACATCTGCAATGAAATCATGAACATCTTCAAAATTTATGAGGAAATGGTAACATTTATTTCTCAAAACATTAATTTTTTGGACTAAGCATAGATTTTTCCAGTGCTCATCGGACTACACTCAATATTAGCGCGGGAAAAATGTGAACGATCCTTGTGTGCTTACATAACTTCTACATAAAAGTGTTATTTAAATTTGTTGTAATTGGAATCTTTCCACTAAAGGAATAAAACACGTTTTTTTAAAAATTTTTCTGCACATTATTATTGTTCTTTGTGGGTTCGTTTTTCCTAGTTTCATGCCTTGAAGTCATTTCTTTGAAGTTTGCTTGATACTGAGAGGGAGAGAGAGAGAGAGAAAAGAGAGATGTAGAGACGGATAATCTGAAAGAAAGTGGGAAAGAGAGGGAAGGGCGTCAAAAACGTTCCTTAGTGCTTCATGTTTCTGCTCACATACCGGATTCTCGTTATGTTAAAATGCAGTTTCACCTGTATAACATTTCAATAGCTTCTTCGATTGCTAAGCTAACAAGAGGCTGGTATAAAATATCCGACTAAAGTCCCGATGTCTTCGTCTTCTTCAGAGTCGAATCCATTCAAATCGACGATCCATCAACAATTAGTCTTCGTGATTTGGCTGTTCGTTGTCGCATCGAGTCGATTCCAATGAAGTGGGGCAGCGATCGATTAACCGGCAGTGCATTATGCAGAAGTCGGTATTATATTGGTTAGCACATACTTCGATACTTGAACACTTGGATACTTGAATGGCTTGTCCTCCCCGGTTGTGCGGGTCCTAGCATAATTTCCATCTTCCGGAGAGTTGCTAGCTTCACCATTGTGGTTCCCGGAGTTCCGAGGTCCGCTTAGTCGAAGCCTTCCTCAGGTCGTCACCATCCCAGGCAGTCGCCGCGCCTTGTGGACCAGAAAGAGATTTTCCTTCGTGCGACTAGTTTGACACCACGACGCAGATGATTCGTGGTATTGGTAATGGTTAGCACGTAAAAAAAATAAAACTCTCGGTGTTGATCAATCTCTAAGAGATGCCCCACGCATTCTACTTCATTGAGCAACGTCTGAAGGTGGTTGAGTGCATATCTGGTCTTTACAATGGCTCCCGATGGCCTACAGATGTATCAAGTCAGTGCTACTATCCTCCCAGACAAGTTTGATACCAATTTGCCTAGCCCGGAGGGATGGAAGGCTTGGTGGGCCATGGGGGCGAGAATCGATTCCACGTGTGTGTTGCAGGGCGCCTCCGACCACTGCGCCACACACGCCCAACTTTGTACATATATTTATTTTTTATTTTTGCGGAAAACATTGCAGTTGCATGTTGTTATTCGCTATAGTACTATATCTGCAATAAAGCTAATATATAATCATTATTATTTACTAACTTGGTTACTTGGATGGCCCGTCTTCACTGGTTGTGCGAACCCTAGGATAATTTCCATTTTTTCGGAGTTTTGTTGGTTTATTCACTGTGGTTCTTTTGCCGTCTTGAGGTCAGCCTAGTCATAGTCTGCTCCAGGTCGCCACCAGCATAGGCAGTAATGTCACTAATGTAATGAAAATACAAGGTGGGCGGATAGCACAGTGGCAGTGATGTCCGTCACCACTAGGATGGTCCTAGTTCGATTCCACTCCAGGCTAACGAAGTATCTCATCCCTTCGGGTTCGAGAAACTGGTAATGGACTTCTCAAGAAAAAAAAATCACTTTTTGCAATACAATTGGTAACCCTTCAGCCCAGCTATCTCAGGACTCCGGGAGGAATCGACTCGGCCAGCATTTTACGACATCCGAGATGAAGTGAAAATCCTGAAGTATCAGCCGAAGCCACACGTAAAAACTTAGAAGACCTTTGTGGACAATGGACGCGAGGAAATGATTTAAATGTGAGAAGTGCTGGGACCCGCACAGGAGATGCGTGGACGGATCAAATAAAATAAAATAAAATAAAATAAAAATAGAAAATACAAAATACAATAAATATGGTAGAATATGCAAGTACAAATGTGTATAAATGCAACATTGAAGAAATTTTGAGCTTTACGTGACTTACAATATCGTCCGTATGTTAATGAAGAATGTGTTTACTTTAAAAAATGACAAACACCTCTTTCCTCCAAACGATGATGTTTTCATCTTTTGAAAAAGTATTTGAAAACCTACTTTCCTTTAGCCTCAGCATCACTAACCAATATGTATCCTTTCTTTGATGAGTTTAACACGAGGTTTCTAAACATTCTTTATTTTCGGCTAACGTTTCGGTGGTTTCCTCTTCATCAGAGCCAATGATCCGAGTCGATAGTATACGGTTGTTCGTGTTCTCGAGGTGGTGTCTTCGTCATGCATCGAGCTGGACCTTCGTCACTGGACCACCTCTTTTTAAAAAAATCTTTAGCTTTTGGATAAAGTTGAAGAGAAAAGCTGAATTTAGGCTTTTACTAAAAGCGATCCCGGATCTTTGCTTCTCGGAAACCTCTATGCGTCCGATTACACTGAGCTGTGTGTACAGTAATGAACAGAACGGTATTAGCGTTTTAATTCTTGCGCTGGTCGGACTTATTGCTCGGATTCGTTGGGCATATTATATGGATGATAGACACTGTTAAAAAGTGAGTGAGTAGGCCTCCTTCGAGAGATTATCCGCTAGGGAGGACACAACTCGTTACGAAGGCGAAGGCGCCACATCGAGACGAAGAAGAACCGTGAACTGTCGACTCGGACCATCTACTCTGATAAAGACGAAGACATCGAAACGTTAGCCGAATAAATTGTTTATCAAGCCCGTGTAAGCTTATCAAAGAAGGAAGAGATGTTGTAGGAGGTACGGAGATAAAGCGATACCAGGGTTCACCACCATCCTGGTATCGAAGTCGTATGGTGGCAAATCTTCATCTGATCCACAGGGACTGCGACTGCATGTGGTGGGGCAGATTTTCGCCAGGCGGACCTCCAGATTCCAGGAAAACACAATACCTTAACCAGCAAATCTTTGAAAAATGGAGATCATGCTGGGGCCCGCACAAGTGAAAACGGGACGTTCAAGTGTCAAGTGTCAAATACCGAGGTTAAAGGAAAGTCGGCTTTGAAATACTGTTAGTAAAGATACGGAAGAGAATCAGATATCAGGATCATACTGGCTGATCTATTTTGTAGCTACTTGATTCCCTAAGGAAAAAATTTGGCTATTGAAGAAAAAAAAACAAAGCTTTGGCGTCAATCCTTCACTTAGAGATACACCATACATTCTACTCCATCCTTAGCACTGTTGAGGTAATTGAATGCTCATTTTGTCTATACAATAATCTGGACGTGCGCAGTAATATATTAGGTTAATCATTTTAACCTCACAGAAAAGTTATGAGACAGATAAACTTTTGTTACCATTTCTGTACGTAAACCAAAGACGTGCGTAAGGCACAGTTCTAGAATAGGCACGTAGTCGCTGGTTCGTTCTCGCCCTCTGAGCAAATCTAACCTTCCATCACTCCGGAGTTGCCAGACTTTTCTGGAACTGGAAGAAAATCGTTAGACTCGAACAAGGCATTGTATTGAATTAATACGCATTGCATCGCGTTCTAAGCAAACTTATGCAGTGGTTGGTGTATCGATTCTGGGCCGTAGAATGAGGCAAAGAAAAGGCTTCCATTCTTCGTCTACGTCACCGCTAGCGCGATAACGACGACGATATTGGCGACGGCGACAAAGCTAGAAACGACTGAGTTCTCTGGCAGTTTTTATCAGATCGTTTAGATGCACCAACTGGCTGTAAACGAAAAACGTGAACAGCTGGATATTTAGATGAATTTTATAAGACATCAACATTAGTGGCACGCATTCTCACTAAGAAAACGTGCTTTTTCTCCTATGTGCAACAAGCAAGGATGATTGGATTATTTCATCTTACTAACCTTCACACTTCTGATAGTTAAATTTCTCCCCTTCGAGTCTAAGAAAAGAAGGCTTTCATTTTTTTACACTTATCAGTAGTTCGACATTTTCTATCAGCTAGCAGATTCCGCAATTCGTACGGCGGTTATACGGTATTTATACGGTGCAAGTACGATGTCACGTATATACGGTATTTGTGCGGTATAAGTACGGTATCACGTCGTCGTATAGTATTTCACCTTACATGTATTAACTTTGAATTCTATTCTAACCACGTGCTACGTTTTTGAAGGAGAACATTCTGACAACGATATTCGTTCATCGAGCGAAACATCAACCTTTCTTTAAAGAAAATCGTGTCATTTTTCAGAAGGGCGGCATGTGGAGAAAGATTAACGTCGTTATTTTTAGGAACAATTGCAGAATAATCGCTCTCATTTCCACATATCCTACCAGAGTCCTTTTTTGAATTCGTTCTTCTTCCGGTGTTAGGTTAGTTGGGTTCTTGGAAAAATTGTAAGCAGTGGGAATTTCTATCAAAATTTTTTAAAATCCCTTGTGGGCAATGTGTTTTTATGGTGACATTGACAACTAAACGTTTAGTGCTGGAAAGTCAATCCATTGTCACCGATTTTGTGGTGATTTTCGGAAAGATCAATAAATCTAAAAATGAAATCGACCGATCCGTTTTCAGTGCTAACCAGACGGAGACGAAAATACGTGTGCAGTCAACTTGAATGGGAGTATTAGCCTCCCGGCACAAGACGGTGCCAAGAGGCGAAGGAGTAAAGGTGGCTGATTTTTTCGCCTCGTCCTTTTCTTTTCAGTTTTCCTTTTTTAAGATTTTGTCCTGCCTATTAATTTTTGCCTGTTGAATTTTTATGCCTGAAGTAATCTATTTCGTATGAGAGGCGTAAAGACACTTGTAAGGTTTCCGAAGAAATCATTAGCATCTTGATTTATCTCGGCAATGCGATTCACAGAAAAACTACCAAGTCCTTGAATATTAGTCGGTTATATATACTTTTCTTATTGATGCATCTTCGTGGTTTTCAGCTCGCCTTTGATCCGGACGAGAAGTGGAGTAATCTCTATCGAGAACGAGAAAAGAATCATTTGTATAAATGGGTTGGTGTACGAAAAGGTACGCTGTCCCATCGCACTCATTACACGCAACTTGAGAGATCCATGTGAATGTAATAGGCAAAAACTCTATACTTGAAGTAGTTCGGGTTCAACAGCAATATTACCATGCCACAACATACCATAGCAACGTAAGTAGGAAAAATAATAAATAAATAAAGGATAAAGCTTCCCTGAGGGATGCTCCATGCGTTCGACATCCCTGTCGATGTATTGAGCCAGTGATGTTATCCTTCCAGACAAGTCTTGTACCAATTTGCCTACCTTGGAGGGATGGAAGGCTTCGTGGGTCATGGGCACGGAAATCGATTTCATGTGGTGTGCCGCAGTGGCGCATCTAACCACTGCGCCACGCGCCCCAGGAGAAACGATGCAATGAAGCATTCCGTAGAGTATGGTACTGGAAGTGTGGCGCCAACGCCTGGTGTATGCAACAACGTAGCAGTTCTTCTGGCCAAAGATATTCTTCTAAAAATGAGTTCTGCCACTCTGGACCTCAGAAAAATGGTTTTCCATCCCTTCTCCTATATCAGTACGATTTCCTTCTTTGATTCTGCTCAACGAAACAAAATCAGGACAATTCTTCCTTTAAAGCGTCAATTGTAGTCGTATATTTTAGTTTTGGTGAAATTTTGTAGCGTTCAGCTACTTAAGCCATTTTTAATAGGTTTATTTTTTATTGAATCTGTTTCACCTAACTTTTGACGATTGTTGTTTTTTACGTCGACCTTCTAAAAGTCAACTCAAGAAATGAGAGAAATTCGCTTCCAAAAGTTACCATTCCCGTCATAGTTATTGATTAGAGCGCATATTTTTAGGTGGAGATCTCATAAATATCTATGAGCGGGACGGCGAAGATGGTGTACTGAAATTCGCCGATGAAAAAATGACTGGAATGCTCTATAACGAAGGACGTCAACCACAATTGATCAAAGCTCAGGACTATATAAAATGGAAGAAAGGAGTGGTAAGATTCTAGCCACACATAGTTCCGCTTTTTCTAAAAAAAAATTTTGTACCTAATTTACAAGGTCCTCCCAACGGTTTACCGCCTCATTGTGACTGGGATGTGTCCCTGGGTGACGGCCTGCGATGTACAGCGGGAAGATTCAACCTCCCACAGGGCCTCCCAAGCTGAGGATTCCGGCGTTTCCATCAAGAAGCCTAGCTAGGAGTAAACCAATACCAGAACTCAGCAGCTTCTTGGTGTGAAACTAATCGTAGGGTGGAAAATCGACCTCTAATCCACAAGGGTTGCGAATGCCTGTGGTGGTGACGACGTGGAGCATACTTTGGTCAGGCTGCCCTCGGGACTCCAGGGAACCACAGTAGCTTAGCCAGCAAATCTTCGGAGAATGGAAATTATGTTGAAGCCCGCACAATCATTGAAGACAAACCGTCCAATCTCAATCTCAAGTAGTTAGTAATTTACAACTTGTGTACGAAGTGATTTTTACATTCGCATGTTACTGGCTGTTAAGAGTAAAGAGGCGAAAACTCTAAGGTAGGCTAGTCGTGAGCGAATAGCGAATGTCGTTACTGCGTCGTCATAGTTCTTCTAGCTATGTTCCAAAAACATCAGAAATAAGGGAAAAATCATTAACAGAACGTGCAACTCGGCTTGAGCGATGTTAGCGGTCTCGAAATGCACGAGATGAAATTCAAAGAGCATCAGGCACTTTGGAAACTGAACAAACGTGGTGTCGATGGCGAAAATATCATACATTTACTTCTTAACAGGTAAATCTTAACCATTTAGCATGTTTCCTTTTTTTCCTTGAAAATCGAGGCAAGACTAGAAATTCATAGCGCTGATTTCTAAGTTATTTACAATTGGAGATCTTTGCCTTATTATTCATCTTTTTCTTGTTTTTGCACAATTTTCTTTACACTCCCGAGTTTCTTGCTGAAGGATTGAGTGATGTACAAAGCTTCTGAACATCTAAACGTAGCGGAAAGAAAGTTTTTGTCAGTTGTACAGTTGTCACCAATATTTATGAATGAAGGTGCGGATAGCACAGTGGTAGTGCTATCCGTCATCACGAACTTTGCTGCTAATTCGGTCCCGCTGCGGACCAACCAAGCCTCTCACCCCTCCGGGGTCGGGAAATTGGTACCGGAGTTGTCTCGGAAAAAACCATTCTTCGCAGTCCAATTGGGAACGCTCCACCCTGGCTATCTCAGTACTTCAGAGAGAATTGCTTAACCAGCATTCTACGACATTCATGATGAAATGAAAATGAAAATTCTCAATCAGCAAGCTAAACCGCACGTAAAAACTTGGACGACCTTCGTGGACGATATATGCGAGGGAACGAATTGGATGTGAGAAGTGCAGGGTTCCGCGCAGAAGACGTGAGGACAGATCAAACAAAATAAAAAAAGTAAGAAATAAAATTTTATGGACAGATATAAAAAGATGAAGCTTTCGGCGTTGATCAATCCCTGACGGATGCCCCATGCATTCGACTGTATTAAGTTTCGTTTGAGGTGAATGAATGCATATCTGGCTTTTACATTGACTCGGGATGGCCCACCGATGCATTAAGTCAGTGCTACTATCAGCCTAGACAAGTCTGGTACCAGTTTACCGAACCCCGGAGGGATGGAAGACTTGGTGGGCCATGGGCGCGGGGTCGATTCCACGTGTGTGTCGCAGTGACGCCTCCAACCACTGCGCCACACGCGCCCTTTGATCAGATATAACAAGAGAAAAGCTTTCACTTCTATCTTCCCTTTCTAAGCGAGTTACTTAAATAGGAGTCCTGAGTTTTCATAGGTAATCAATATTCTGATATCATTTTCACTTTAGAGAGGAACAGGTATGTTACGAAATCGCTCGGATTCTTCTTAAGCGTTATCCAGGCTTGGCCAATGATATCTATATGGGTGACGAAATGTTCGGTAGGTATAAGGCGTTTCTTAAAGTGTTGCTATTTTCACTGTGAATCTCTCTTTTGGCTATAAAAATTCGAAATTTTTCTTCTAACTACTTTTCTAAACCAGTGAAATATTTCTGTAACACGGAGATCACTCAATAGGAATCGTTTCTATTAGTTAAAGGATACATTTTAAAGTTAATTCGTGCATGAACGCTTTTGTGGTCACTAAATGATAATCGATTTTCCTCTAAAGTACAAAATTGTCACTTTAAACGAGAACAGATTTATTTCGTGTGGTTCCTCAGTTTTTTCCTTATTCTTTCCTTTCTTCCTCTCCTTTCTTCCCTTCTTACCTTAAGATTCAAGCACCTTTCTTTTATACAACTCGTACAATCGTGGTAAAATAACATATTTTTCTCTCTTCAAGTGACTGTAGTAAATATTTCGAAACCAGCTTTCCTTTAACCTCAGTGTTACTACTCAGTACCTAATCTTTCTTCTATGAGCTTACACGAGGTTGATAAGTGTATTTATTTTTGACTAACGTTTCGAAGTCTTCGTCTTCATCAGAGCCGACGATCCGAGTCGATGGTCCACGCTAAAAGGGCATCACCGAATGAGCATGCCTCATTCGAGGAGATGGCCTGCTGAGAAAGACCTGACTCGACACGGAGACGAAGCCGCCACATCGAGACGAAGAACAAGTGTGCATCATCGACTCGGTTCATCGGCTCTGATGAAGACGAAGACGTCGAAACGTTAGCCAAAAATAAATATATCTATGAACCTCGTGTAAGCTCATCAAAGAAATAAGAAACATGATAAACAGAAAAATTGTGTTGTTTAGAGGAAAAAACTCTAAGTTCGTAGTATTTTAATGTTCCTTTAGTTTACAGTTTGAAAATTTTTGATTAAATTAGGCACTGAGTGTGTAGTTGATTACCTGTTGTTAGCTGCTACTGTCCTTGACGACTGAAGGAATACGTCATACTAACAACCACATCATAAAAGCGATTTGTAGCGCGGTTTATTCACCGATTCCTAAGAAGTTCTGCACTCCTAGAACATTCAAAAAAATCGATTCTGAAAATGCAGAAAAGGACAAGGCGTTCGATGCTAATTCATTCCTTAGGAATACGTCGTGCATCCGGTGACTCCATCAGTAGCATCCTTAGGGTTATTCACTGCATCATGTTTCGGCTATGCAATGACTTGCCAGGTCTTACCGATATATCAAGTTGGTGTTTTTGTCTTCTCAGACTAGTGCTGTGGCGATTTAGCAATAGCTGAAAGATGTGAGGCATGTTTACTCCAGGACGCGTACTCGAACCACAACCGATCCAATGGCACCTCTAAACACTGAGCTGCATGCACTCTGAAAAACGATATCATTTGGTTTTGGGTAAGGCACATGTGAACTGGCCTAGAAAAAATCCAACATTGTTACTTCTCCTAAGGAAAATGCCCTGGATATTGATCGTGGTAATTTGTCGAGTGAAATTAATTTCTATGTGCACTTAGATATGTTGCAGGAATTTTTCTTTTCTCGAGATTCCGATTCCTCAGTGATTGGTTTACTCTTTTTTACTCACTTAATTTTGTTGCGAAAGCACTGCACAATGCGGCATGAACTGAGCATATAGGTGCTAGTGGCGTAGGAAATTTTCTGAAAACAAAGGAGGAAAAAACGTCATCGTCATTTCGTGCTCTTATTTGCTTGAAAGTGGATAACAGGATGTCGATGGTGATAATATAAAAAATCAAAAGAAAGAGAAAGAAAAGAAAAAAGAAAACCGACAGAACGAAAATGTAGAATGAGATAGAACATCGTGCGGCTTGGTTTTGGTCGAGAAGCTTTTCGTTTAACGTGGCGGATGGATGTGATATGTTTATCATCGACTAGGTACTTACGACTAAGCTTGTGATGGCGGAAATTCTTCCTTCCTCACAGACCTCTTTGGATTGTTGAGCTGACATCCAAGAGCTCTAAGTTATTCTCAGCAGAAAGTGAGCAGAAGGTCGAAATCTTCAGATTTTTTTATTTATCCTATTTATTAACATGAATTCATATGTCATATATTGCACTAGTCCCAGCAGTTCTTTTCTTGGATTCGTTTCCTCTCATCCATCACCCACGAAAGTCTTCGGTTTGCGAGTCGGGGTTCTGCTTAGGCATTTTGGTCTTTTTTACGAGCGTCGTTGAATGCCCATTAAATAGATTTTCTCTGAAATGCTGCGATAGCTGTGCTGGGTCGTTCTCTGATCTCCACTAGAGGCATTCGCCGGGCTTTGTGGACCTGCTGGGGCTCATCGCTCATAACTGGTGACAATTTCTTGATAATCGATGGATCGGAGGGTTGTACGAACCGAGGCGGGGTCAAACAGAGCCCTGTACGTGTTACTAAACCGAATCTCTACTACTCCGCTACTCACGTTCCAAATTTTCAGGTTCGGAGGGGAAATTTTTCTTATGTACAACTGCCGAATTTCAGAACACTTAGAAAAATTGAGGCTCTTTTTTTAAGCAGATAGCATTGAAAGTGGACAGTGACGGATAGTCTTTTCCAGGATCTCTCAGAACACTTATTTGTGAAAGAGCGCTCCAAAATGGATTATGAATCGATACGTGCTTCCCAGCTGCTGGAATTCTGGCCTTGTGCGGAATCGTGATGAAGGATACAATTTGCACGCACTCGAATCCACCTATGTCAGCTTTCTTAAAAGCATTCAAGCAGTGAAGACAGGGAGAAATATGGTCTCAAAAAAATCATTAAACCATAGAAATGATCTACGGAATGGTATAAGGAAATATAGCAAGAGCCATATTTTAAGAACTTTGACTAGTTCTAAAGGCGTCATGCCAGTATGAGGGTTTATTCATGCAGTGGACGTTCTGTATATGAAATTCTGTTTTGTTACGAAACGTTTTTATCAAATGTTTCAGTTTTAGTCCTTGTATCATCTTCCTCTTATACCTTTTCTAAGATAACTTTGCTTTTATTACTTAGAGCTCCCATGGTTCTCAAGACTGGCATCCTACTAACCTCGGCAGTGATCAACAATTCTCTATTTCCTTGATAAGCACACACGAAGTTGTCATTATACTCTTTGCTCATAAAAGCTGACGTTTCGACGGATTTCGCCTTCTTCATATCCTGGAAAGGTCAAGTAACCTAGTCAACCAAACACCTCCAAAGTTTCGAAAGAAAGACCGTAATACCTAGATTTCAATCGCATTGGAAAGAAACCAGCTTCTTCACACAGTAACAACGGCGACTTTATATGTTTTTACGCTACTATTATGTGCGGAAACCCCACATGGATGGGCAATTTGGACTCCGTGCGCTTGGTCTCCATGTGGAAAACTCAGTAGAAGACTCATTAGAAAAGCTTTGGAGAAGAGGATAGCCCTTGAAACGTCAGCTTTTATGCATAAAGAGTATAATAAAGGGTGTGATAACAACCTTGTATGGGGTTATCGGGAAAACAGCGAGATAGGAGGGCCTATGGTTTTGGCACTGACCGGGTTTGAGTCGAATATCTGAACGCGTTGCATGACTTTACACTGATAAGGAGAAGATTTACAGGAAATTCGTGGATTCACGTAGTTTCGGTAGTTTTTCGAAGTAACTTTCATTTAGAGATCATTTGAAGAAACAATGAGTTTTCTTGTTTCTAGCAACATTCATTTTCGAAACAAAATTTCTGATGTCTAACGTAAAACCCGAAGAGATCATTAACGATCTGTGGGCACATTTCCTACGCCGTCGATACCTGGTTCGATTTCTGTCTTTTCGAGGCCAAACAGCCCTCCATCTGGCAATCGTTCATGACGACTACGAGACCGTACAACTGCTTCTCGCCAGCAATGCCGACGTGAACGCACGAGCTTGTGGCTATTTCTTTCTACCTGAAGATTTCAAGGCCACCAATAAAGTCACCGACTATCAAGGTGGGTAGAGTAATCCATGCAATGTTGACTAGGTTTTTTTTTATCAACAACTGATTCTCTTTTGTAAATACTGCACTTTTTGCCTTTTCTGAGTTTGTACTTTATTTTATAAGTAAACGTAACGAGAGAACGCTGTTCTGTACTCGAAGTGCATTTCCACATGGAAGTGCAGTCGCCCTTTGTCTTCGTACTTCTCTAACCTCTACGGAAATATTTACTCAGTGAAACAGAAATGGTCATCGAATCGGTGAAGTCATTATTATTACTACCTAAAAAACTACTGTAATCCTTATTGGAGGTCCATTAACCGTCGAATGAATTTAAGTGATGGCGTGTGTGATGTTTTCAATTCCTTACTCGATACTTGAATGGCCCATCCTCACTGGTTGTGTGGGCCCCAGCATAATCTCCATTTTTCGGAGATTGGGTGGTTGAGCCATTGTGGTTCCCCGGAATTCCAAGGTCATCTTGACCAAAATCTGCTCCAGGTCGTCACCAGCACAGGTAGCCGCAGCCTTTGTGGGTCAGAGGAAGATTTGCCACCATACGACTAGTTTGATACTAGGACGTTAGTGGAACCTGGTATTGGTTTACTCTTAATTAGACTTCCTGATGGAAACACCGGAGTCCTTCTCAGCCTGGGAGACCTTACCAGGGGTTGGATCCCCCGTTGTATATCGCAGTCCGATACCCAAAAACACCTCCCAGCGACGATGAGGCAGTAAATGGTTGGAAGGGATGTTTTTAATTGTTCCTTAAAGTTGTCACCGAGCACGTACACATTCGTGGGATCGAAGAGATGTACAAGATTCTCCCTTTCTGCTTGTTTCACCGCTTTCCAGGCCAGTGCTCACAAACCTTTGTCCATCTACACATTCTTGTTGGGATGAAGTTCATATTAGCTTTCCATCCTCCATTCTAGTGAAACCACTAGTTGATATTCGTTTAGTTGAGTGCAAATGAATTTTTTTTGCATATGAATCCATTTGTCGCGAGCATCACCATCGTGAAATTCAGCTTTATTCCTACACTTCTATCGACGAGATTGAATTGACAAGACATCGAATGATGTTTTCGGTACACCTATTGAAATTATTCAGCCACCGATGTCACCGGCAAGATCTTCTATAGAAGTTTAAAAAGACCTTAGCAAGTGAGACGCGAAAGAATTCCAATGAGATGATGCATTTTCCCCGAAATTTCGTGGACATCAGTGATGATCGCTTTTCAAAAAAGCGATTTCTTCTATATTAATTCCAGTAGAACTCATCGCGAACCCAATTAAACTTGGTAGGAATGGAGTGATTATATGAGGTTACATAACATAAGCCACCTATATCATAACGGTTCGGATGGTACCAGTCGTATTGAATTGCATTCGTAGCCCAGTTCTGCAGCATTGCTTGCAGCTCACCGTTTTTCCTATTAAAGATGGTATACATTTGAGACTTTCTTTCTACGAGTAGGGCCATCCTTCAAGGTTTTAGTGACAAGTGAATAAGTGGAGAAACGGTCGACAAGAGCTTTGATGTTCAGATTTTTGCCTGATATTATCGTAGCAAAGTATGTGGTAAGCCAGCTGAGGGGATTCGTACCGTTGGTGTTTATGCTCCCTCACATTCTTTCTATAAACATAATAGAGAAACAGCATAAGTAGCGAGTATGGAAAGCAGGATGAATGTCAATAGTAAAGGAAAGGCCTGAATTATAAAGGAAAGGAAGAAAAAAAGACATTTTTTCAGGATATGCTTACTATGGCGAGTATCCCTTAGCATTTGCAGCGTGTTTTGCCAACAAGGACATCTACGACCTGCTCATTCAGTACGGTGCTAACCCGAATCTACAGGATTCGTTTGGGAATACCATCTTACATATGTGTGTCATCAACTACAGCAGCGTGAGAACTTCATACCATAGTTATTCTTACTTACCGTAAGATCTTCAAATCAATTTATTCATTTTAAAGGGTTTTTTTAAGTCTCAGTGAGATATGCTTATTAAAATAACCGTTTACTTCTGCTTATGAATATGTTATTCATGGATATTCGTTTCGTTTTCCACTTGCAGGATTTGTAGGGTGTTTTTCTTTTTTTTTGCCGGTCGAGAATTGAGTTATACCTTTTGTAAACATTGTAGACACATTCATTCCTAGGTGCCTAGTTTCTTTTACATTTAGGAAAAACTGCTATCAACCGACAATACCGAAATACTTGAACGCAGAGGCATGAGCGAAGAGGAATAGTTCTAATGGGTAACAAAGAAAGAGTAGAGTGTGAATGGTATTCTCTAGCGTTGAAAATGATATGAATGTTTGAAGCTGATTCCGTGTTATCACATCTCACTGCAGGAATCGCGTCATATCATCTGTGATAGACAAATGATAGGCATTTAAACGTTTTTAGTGTCATATTCAAATTCCAAATGTACACCTTTTTTTCTAGAAAGAACCTTTACAAAATGGATAAAAACCACGTAGAACTTTTTTTTTGCTAAGGGCACTTTTAGAAATGACATATATTCCACCTAGAAAAAGACGAATCCTTGTTAGCTCATTGCAACTTTTCCCTTCACTAATCCTTCATTGTAGCTTTCAATGACTCTATGACCACTTACTTTTTGTTACTGGTGAGGCACACTCTTGCAGTCAATGTATTCGTACGCTGTTCGACATTGGGCGAAGCCAGCTGACCCACATGTGGTAAACCACGCTGGTTTGACACCGTTGACATTGGCAACAAAACTGGGACGAAAGCATATTTTTGAGGAAATGCTCGAGTTAATGAAAGTGGTAAGAATTCTAATTAGTTACATCGATTCAAAAAGTTGCTATGTGTTCAACAGTCGAGCAATTCCAGTAATGGAGTCGTCTCATTTTGCATATTGCTAACATCAGACTATTGAAAATCGCTTCTAGGTCGAATAAATTCGAATATTTGAATTGTAGGGATAGCGGCTAGAGTTGTATGAATATTTGAGTCTTACCTTTAATTCAGTCACATTTCCAAATGGTCTTGAAACACAATGCTAACTTATTATTTAGTGCTTACTCTTTTTAATGGCAAGGTATATGCGCAATATAACTTCTCTGATGCTGAGATCAGTCTCACTGACGGGTGATTGCTGATGTCAGAAATCGATAGAACTAGTTGACAGATAGGCGAAACGAAGGACCCGTATGTTGTGGTGGCGAACGCGTTACTCCTCGGAAAGGAGAATAGCCCGTTCGTTCCCCACCGCAAACACCTGCGGTCCGCAGTTTTGCAAATATCTTAGCAACATTGAAGGTCTTGAAACAATCCCATGTTATGGTGAATTTCAGGAGTTTTGGCGTTTCTCGGACATGACATGTTCGGCGTATCCGCTGAACGCTCTGGATACCATACAACCAGACGGTTCCACCAGTACGTTGATCATCATAAATTTTTTTAGGAATAAAGAGAAGTTTCTAAAAATAAAGATGAAACAAGAGCGATGTGACAGTTCTGACACTTTTCTGGACTAAACTGAAAAGATGTGCATTGCCAAATCAGATGTGATGTTGTTTCTCTCAGAAAACGTTGCGAATTCTTGTGTAATAGTAAATCCGATAATTTATTATTCCATACTTCATAACAAATAAAAGGCAGGTATAGTGGTGTTCAACTTCAGCAACAACCTTAATGTTCGTAGATAGATTTGTGTGCTTCTGAATTCTTTGAACACCTTTTCTGATGCTTCCACAACATACATCGAGCGAAGTTGTCCTATTCGAATATTCGAACATGCCAATAATCGACGACACTTAATTTTTGTTTCGTGTGTTCCACACACCTCCCAAGGTTTTGCCGCTTCATCAGGTCTAGGTGGTTTTTTCGGGTGTCCGGCAGCGATGCACAGGCGGGAGTTTATCATCCCATCAAGGTCTCCCAAGCTGAGGAGTGCGGCGTTCCAATCCGGAAGCTCAGCTAACAGCAAACCAATGCCAAGAGCTACCACTGTCTTGGTATCGAACTAGTCGCATTGTGGCAAATCTCTATCTGATCCACAGATGCGACTACCTGTGGTGGTGATGATCTGGGACAGGCTTTGGCTAAACTGACCTCGAGACTTCAGGGACCCAGAATGGCTAAGCCGTTAAAACTCCAAAAAATAGTGATTACCATAGGGCCCGAACGACCACTGAGAACGGACAGTATCCAACTAAATAAATTTTTCACACCACAATTGCTGTACTAATTGCACAAAACAGTATATGATTGTGTTCGTATTTTTTGAGCAAACGCGAGGTGTTATTGTTCTTTGTTCACGATTAAGCTGACGTTTCGGCGAATTTCGCCTTCTTCAGAGCCTGGAAAGGTCAAGTTGATAGCAACTCACTCGGCCAGACGCCTCCATAACCAAACAAAGAAACCCCAAACCAAGATTTCAATCACGTTGAACACAGCTTTGCACACTCACCGCTTTCTATGAGGTCTCCACTAAGTATGTCACGTAGAGACCAACCGCACAGAAATCACGTGGAAGTATAATGTGCCCCTCACATCAGAAAAGCAGTTTTATATACTGCCCTATATCACGCGTGATAATGAGGCATTCTTCCCTGCGGTTCATTTTCGGATTTCTGGAATTAATCCAGAGTGCCTCGAGGGTTTTTCGCGCCTGTGTTCTCGATTCGCGTGCGAGGATCGTGACACATACTTCGAAGTCGTCCCCGTTATGTCTCTGGGTCCTATGCGTGCCTAGCGGGGTATTTGGTCTATTTTTGCCGGCTAGGTGTTCTTTCATGCGGACACAGAGGGGTCTACCCGTTTCGCCAATGTATTCGTCACCACACGTCTTACAGGAGATCAGATAAACTATACCCGAGCTCATGCAATCACCGTCTCTACCACTGGGGCAAATTATGCAATTTTGAGTTGCACATAGACGGTCATATAGGCGGTTACGAACTAGCTGGCGCTTAAGATTACTCGGTGGTATTTCAACTACGCTCACCGAATTCTATAAGCCCGCCCTTCTTAAGCAGCGTTTTATAGCTGTACTTATATCATTTGAGATGAAGGGTAGAATAAACGGGACCCTTCTATCGCTAGAGTTGTCGTTTGGAGGCCTACGATTTCCTCTACACCTATCCTGAGCTACAGTTTCGTAGCCATTAGAGACGGCTATTTGCCGTGCCAAGTTCCGGGACTCCTCTCTCTGCTCTCTTCCCGCGCACACGTTGGTTGCTGTTCGAAACATGTTTCTTATAAGCGCCCTTTTCGTGTGAGAGGGGTGAGAGGAGAGGTAATGAACCAAGATGTTTTTACTACTTGGCTTTCGGTACCACTTTGTAATGTAGCCATTTTCTGATAGGTGAATTTGTACGTTCAAAAATGGAAGCCATTAAAAAAATGGAAGCCATAGCTTTTCTGATGTGAGGGACATATTATACTTCCACGTGTTTGCTGTGCGGTTGGTCTCTACGTGACATACTTAGTGGAAACCTCATAGAAAGCGGTGAGTTTGCAAAGCTGTGTTCAAAGTGATTGAAATCTTGGTTTGGAGTTTCTTTGTTTGGTTATGGAGGCGTCTGGCCGAGTGAGTTGCTATCAACTTGACCTTTCCAGGCTCTGAAGAAGGCGAAATTCGCCGAAACGTCAGCTTAATCGTGAACAAAGAACAATAACACCTCGCGTTTGCTCAAAAAATACGAACACAATCACTTGATCAATGCCGAGGTTAATAGAAAGTCGGTCGTGGCAGTATATGATTGTATTCTTCAAAGGAGTAGAAGTATAGGCAGCATAACAGTAGTAACTAACAATGACAACGGTTAAACTACATTTAATAGATTATGACTCGGCATTGATGACGGTGATCAACGGCAGTACCGCTGAGCACTTGGATATGATTGGAAGCGAAGTGATTCAACGCCTACTCGCCGACAAATGGAAGGCGTTCGCTATGGTAAGCCAACGATGACGTCATTTCGTAATGCCTTGTCCGCAATCTCAGACGTGTATTAAATTACGGTTATTAGCAAGTTTCTTGACGTACGAACGATATATGCTATGTCGAAAGTTGATTAAGAAACGATTATATCTGCGTAGAAAATACTAACTTACATGGAACTTTGGAAAAAGACAGTAATATCTGAAGCAAAACTAGTAAAATATTCTGAGATCCTCTGTATAGCTTGGGTAATCGTTTTCTAGTACTTTTGTGTTAAACTTGATGAACTAGCGTATTACTGTATTTTAAAATGTTTTCAGCGAAAGCTAATCGAACGTCTTGCACTGCTCATTGTTCAACTGGTCACTTTATCGATAGTAGTTTATGTGCGACCTACTGAGGTCTCACGACTGTACATGCAGGAACCCCAATGGGATGATTATGTAAGTGTCGTGATTCCAATAATATGATTCGACTAAGAAGAGGAGGCGTACAGGTAGTGTTTGGGGCATCCATATGTGGGGGAAGACACAAACAAATCACTGGTCACAAAACACTCATTGGTCGATAGCTTTTAAAAGGAACGTTTGTCGTGCTCGACGAGCCTCAAATTCTAGTACAACACATTGAATTGTAATGTGCTCTTGAAAGAAAAGCTCGTCCTAAACACCTCAGGCAACTGAAAGCACGAAGTCGATGAATCGGATCCACCGTGACAAAACCAAACAATTCTAATACGCTTTCTACCTGCGTTGATGAACATCATAGGTGCTTTTTTCTCGTGAATATGTTGTGGAGAAGAATGATCCAATAGAATTCTGGCAAGAAACATCCGTGAAAATAATTGAATAAAAAAAATTACTGTAAATTCTACAATGCGTTCAGCTTTTTCTTTGCTCAGTTACTTTGAAAAAAGATAAGTCATAAGAAAGCACATAAAAGCGAAAAAGAACAGCGAGAAAGAACGAATGAACTTGTTTTATATATAGAAAAGTATTTGTAGTGAGTGAAAAGACAAGAGTTTTATGGCCGTTGGGTTCAATAAGAAAATACAAATTCATGGTTTGGAGTTCATCAGGGATATTTCATACGTCCGACTCTATTCGTAGAACTGTAGAGACGCTTGTATGCGTGTTATGTAACCTGCAAAATAACATTCGGTAGCCTAGCAGTGTATCATTTAGGTTCTTCTATCCACCCAAACAGCTTTAGTGCTAATTTCTCGACACCAGAGGAACAATTCGCTTAGTTAACCTAGGGCGCAAGATCGTACCAAAGACGACATTTGTACTGCAGGTCGCTTCTAACCACTGCGCTGCCATATACTCCATGAATACATTATTCGCAAAATTTCGTGATCATATGCGACATTACCATAAACGATTTCAGATACGTACAGTCTGTGAAGTGCTGACCATTATAAATTGTGTATTTTTCGTGTTCTTTCAACAATTTGGAGAGATTCGTACTCAAGGATTGACCGGGTATTTTAGGAACTTGGTACGTACACAATTTTATTTTGGGTAACGTTAAGTCGTTTCATTACAATTTATCCTTGTTTTCCTTAATCTTCTTCTTTTTCTAGAAGACGGTTCCAGCAAAAGCGGTATTTTGTGTGGCTAATATTTGTATTTTATTGTGTATACCTTTTCGTTTCCTACATTTACATGAAATCGAAGAGGCTCTATTTGTCTTTGCACTACCCGGTTCATGGATGTTTTTGTTGTTTTTTGCCAGGTTAGATCTTCTTAGTATACAATGGATACTAACAACACATTTACAATGAAATACCAAGTTCAAATACTTTAAATTTTGCATACTGTAAAGAAATGAGTACGATAGCATTACGACCGGAGGCACTACCGTATGCTGCATTGGTTGTAGGTATAAGAAGGATAAAAGGATAAAGCTCTTCGCGTTGATCAATCGCTGAGGGATGCGCCATACATTTGACTTCATTAATTATCGTTGAAGGTAATTGAATGCATACCTGGCCTTTACAATAACTCGCGGTGGTTTACCGATATATCAAGCCAGTGCTGCTATCCTCCCAGACAAGTCTGGCACCAATTCACAGACTCCGGAGGGATGGAAGGCTTAGTGAGCCACGGGCTCGTGGACCGATCCCATGTGTGTGCAACAAAGTGCGCTTGTAGGTATACTGGATAAAAATTTAGTCGATGACATCCTTGTGCAGGCTATCGCATAGATCCTTTACAAGTTAAGCATTAGTTCTTTCAAGTCATGCATTATAAAATCTCTGCTGATTAAACTACTTGAGTGATTTCGAATTTTTCTATTTTCAATAACTTTATTTCCAAAAAAGCTCAATTTTCGTTAGCCTTCTTTACAGTGTCTTCTCCTTAAACTTCTCCACAGACCCCTTGATGCACATAGATGTTATAAAGATAAGAAATGATACAATATGTGGGCTTTATCAGCATCCATTGCAGACTAATCAGCCGTAGTTTCAATTTTACTCTTTGATGACGCATTTATGCCAAGAATCTTTGCTGTTTTTTGAGCTTTTTTAAGAAGTAAATAAACTAAAGGATTTTCAGCTTAATAGGCCTATTTCAGAAGTGCCAAGCTGACTGGTCCATTCGTGCAAATGATTTACAGTATGATTGCTGGTGACATGATGCGATTCGCTATCATTTCAGCAATCTTTCTGGTCTCCTTCTCACAAGGTTTGAATTGATGAAATTAGCTAGTAATACTTTATTTACCACAATAAAAATGGCGCAGATAGCAAAAAGAAACTGTACAAAATTCTACATGCTCAAATATTACCGTTATAAGAAGCGTTCTTACTTACTTCTTTGATAATTGAATGGCCCATCCTCACTGGTTGTGCGGTCTCCAGCATAGTCACCATTTTTTGGGGATTTACTGGTTAGCCCATTGTGGTTCCCTGGAATTCTGAGGTCAAACTGGCCAAAGTCTGCTCCAGGTCTTCGCCACCACAGGCAGTCGCAGCCTTTGTGGATCAGGGGGAGATATACCACCACGCGACGTTGATTACCATGACGATGGTAGATCCTCGTATTGGTTTACTCTTAGCTAGATTTCTCGATGGAAATGCCCAACTCCTTCTTAGCATAGGATATGGGAAAACAATCCCCCTTCTGTATATCGCGGTCCGACGCCCAGGAACTCCTCCCAGCCACGATGAGGCAGTAAACCGTTGGAAGGATAAGAAACCTTCACCTACCGTAAACTACTTGTAGCCCCTGAAGTGTTCAGTTAATATAGAGCTGACGCCGAAAGCTACATCCATAGTGAATCGAATGCCATGAAAAAGATCTGGTGTTTATAAACCACTTTGAGCCCGAGATTACTGGAAGATCGTTTTTCAAAAACAGGTAAGAAGTGCATTCACAATTGTGAAATAAAGCAGGGTGAGTAGGGCTTAAGAAGTAAAGAAAATTGTTTAGAAATTTTAAGAAGGAAACTTTTCCTTTGAAGAAACTTTCTGAGATCTTCTTTACTTTTCAGTTTTTTATTTCGTCGGCAAAGACATGGACGCTAAACAACATTTGAATCATACGAATCCACATCATTGTCCTGTCGATGGATACGATATCTACACGTACGACAACTTTCCAGAGACGTTCATCACGTTGTTTCGTGCCAGCATGGGCGGATACGACGTTCGTTACATGATTTCCTCATGTGTTTATTTCTCTTGATAGTTGTGCGCTCTAAACGCTTAAAATTTTGAAAAGAACGACTTTCTATAAATCTCGTCATAAACAGTTGATATATCTATTTATATAAGCATAAACTGTTCTTCTTGAACTGATGCAAGGTTGGTATAAGTTTTCGTTGTGGTCATTGTCGTTGCTGTTGTTGGTCGTTAGCTGACGTTTCGGCCAATTCGCCTTCCCCAGAGCTGGTGCCTCTTACGAGTGGGATTCAAGTTTTTAAACTGAATTGCTTAAAAATTAAATCGAATTAAAAGTTAAAATAAGTTAAAAAGCTTAGATTTTTTAAAAAATTATTTTATTTTATGATTTTTTGAAGTTTTTGGACGAGACATTTCTGTTACGCGAGGGATCGAATGCGTTTATTCAAGTAAGCGTAGGGAACACAGGAAGTCAGTGGGAGTACTACCTATCTTTAAATTCACAAGTATGAAGTACTTACTTGTTTTGCTGTGAGTTCAATCAACCTGAAATTTATGCTACCGATCAATAGTTAATATTGAAGTGACCAATAGTAGTGTCAGTCCTGATCCTATATGACTTTGCTATCATTCTTATGTCAGGTGATGTCTTCTTCATAATTAAATTTCTTATTACCCGAAAATTTTTGAAAGAATAAAGAGGGTGAAAATGATTTCAGTACGAAGAATTCGCATGTGCAAACTATGAAGTACTAACGAAAACGTTGTTTGTCCTGTACATGTTCGTGATGCCGATCATGATGATCAACATCCTCATCGCTATGATGGGCAACACCTACACCACCGTTATCGCACAAGCAGAGAAGGCCTGGCGACAGCAGGTATGCCAACGATGTCGCTAAGCTTTTCCTTTTTTATAATAGTGAGAAATAATCATAGCAAGAAGAGAGTTGAAAAATGCGAAAAAAAGAGTTCTCAGTTTCTTGTCTACAATGAGGCTTGAGAAAAACGACGTCAACTTCGCTACTTATTCACTTATACCTGACCATCTACACTTTTACCAACCACATTAATTTGCTGCTGGACATTTTTACCAAATTTAAGAGTCCTCCTTTTCCTAGAGATCGTGGGATCCAAGAGGCATTCATTAGTTGATTGAAGTGCTAAAGTAAGACCAAAATATCCTTGACATTCTATATGTATTTAGATCTGTATTTAGATATATGTTGGATTGTATACTTGCACATTTGGATGGCCCACCTTTGCTGCTTATGCGGTCCATAATTTACATTTTCTTGAGATTTGCTGGATTAAGCATTGTGCTTCCTTATAGTTCTCAGGTCAGCCTAGCCGAAGACTTCCTTAGGTCGTCACCACCCCAGGCAGTCGTCGCCCTTGTGGGTCAGAAGGAAATTCGTCACTATGCGACTAATTTCAAAGCAGGACGATGGTGACTCCTGGTCTTGGCTTGCTAGCTGACAGACTGTTAGCTGAGCTTCTGGGTGCAAACGTTGTACTCTTTCTCAGCCCAGCAACGATGAGGCGGTAAACCGTTAGGAGAGCATTAGGTTTAAGATATCAAGTGTATAAGTAAAGGCAGAAGAAGAAACGTGATCAACATCAAAGAAATCGCAATAAATATTTGTAAAACTCGCAAGAATATGCATACTTATTCTTTATTGTAATTACAGTATGCTCAAATTGTGATGGTGTTGGAAAGGTCGGTAGGACGTGAGAAATTGGCAGCCAGCCAACTTGAATACAGTATCAAGTTGAACGATACGAACGATGCTGCGCTGGAGGTTCGTGGACTGATGGTGATCAAACAGACGAAGAAAACTCGAGCAAAACAACGTAAACAAGCCATCCATCACTGGAAAACCATCAGTCGAAAGGTATAGTCATTATTTTCCCTCACATTTATTTTATTCTGAAATTTACTAGGAATATTTTTAACGCTTAGTATATTAAGTACATTTGGGAAACCATTGTGGTGATAGGCCTGTCACCATTTATTGTACAGCTGCAAAGACCTTTAAATTTGTCTTATAAAGTGTTTTATTTTCTAAATGTTAAGATTCTCTTCGTTTAATTGGACCGTTAAAGGTAATTGCAGTAGTTTCTTAGTAACGAAACTATCGAGAACTTACTAAACAAGTTTTAGTGCAAGTAATGGTTGCTTCGCCTGAGTTTACGGAACTGGAAGAAATACTTTCTTTAGTGATTAGAACTCTTGATAGTAGACCTGTTTAAAAAAATGACGGACAACTGACTAAAGACCGTTCCGTTGAATACATTGGAACGTTCTTACTATCATAAAAATCACGTAGACTTTATAAAATCTTATTTTCTAATATTTGTTGTTTTAAAATTTTGTAAAATAGTGTTCTGAAAGCGCATCTGAACAAGAAGAATATCGTGCAACGGCTAAAGGCTTCATGAAACTTTTCCCAGATTGTCATGGAAAATACGCATAAGTGTTCTCAAAACTCATTTTGTTCTTTTCTTTTCTACAAGTTTTGTTTTTTTTTTTACGTAAAAAGGGCACTAAGATTCTCATGCCAAAATCTGGAATAGTGCTTAATAGTCAAGGCAATAGCTATTTCATTATGATGGCGAGATTAGCCAGTTTAGGTAATTCATACAATAGCCAAAGTCGGAAAAGAGACTGCCATAGTTCTTCTTCATGGTCATGATCGAGTTGAACCAATTATTAGCGAAGAGGAAAGGGTTCGTTAAATGTTTGCACATCGTGGCTGGAAAGCTTTTCAAAACTTATTCAACTCATTAATTTAAGTTTTTTGATGCTAAATCACAGTCGTGGAATCGAACCCCGACACGACTGCTGACCAGAGGTCGACTAAAAAGTGTCGCATCGAACTACGAGGTGAATTCTTATTAATTGATCTTATTACCATAGATCGCAGTTGCTTGCATGTAACAGAGGAACAATCGATATCTATGATATGCACTTGTTTGTCCTAAAGTAGTTCACTGGCTTTTCATTGCAGTTTTAAGTGTTCTTTACCTAAAAATGTGCTCTATGACCTTAAGTAGTTTCCAAATAACTGGCAGCAAAAGGTAACGAAAAACTGAACCGTTGGTAAAAGGACAAAGGATGAAGCTTTCGGCATTGGTCAATCCCTGAAGGATGTACCATGCATTCGACCTCATTAAGCATCGTTAGAGATGATTGGATTCATAATCCGCTTATACAATGATTCGCAGTAGCCAACCGACGTGTCCAGTCAGTATTGTTGTCCCTCCAGACTACAGAGAATATTTTTTGTGAAATATTCACTATCTTCCACATTAACAGCTTTTGTACCAGTAATGTATTTGTATTTGTTGCTCCTACCATGTAACATGCTGCAATATAAAATACTTAATATGTCGTTTTCTTGTTCAGCAATCACGAGGTTTTTAAACAGCATACATTTACTTCCATAAAAGGCACAATACAATACAACGCTAGCTGACGTTTCGGCAGTATCGCCTTCTTCAGAGCCTGGAAGGGTATTCTGATATACAATCTACTAGGCCAAACGCTTCAAGAACACTTACAAAAAGACGAAAAACTCTGGTAATTACATGATCAACAGCTTCTCGAAAAACTCACCGCTTTTCACGTGATTTCCAATGAGGAAGTTTAGAACAGCTGATTATAGTCGCATGTGGTTGACGACTGCACCATCGCACATCAAAGGGACGAATGCCCGGAGGTCATACGCGACCTGATCCCGTACGTTCGCATCGATTTTTGATGTGCGATGGTGCAGTCGTCAACCACATGCGACTATAATCAGCTGTTCTAAACTTCCTCATTGGAA